GTCAGTACCGGGCCAGACTCACAACCCACCTGGTTCTCATGCCCCAAGACTGCTGATCAGTTTTCAGGAAATTGTAAATAGCCATGATTAAGAGCGTTATTTTAGTTTCTCCTTCTCAAATGTGACCTCTTCCAGGAAGAGAGCCAGCAGTCTCTAGGCTTGGTCTGTTCTCTTCAGCTTAACCCACTTTCATCAGTGAGCCTGCAGCTCCAGAGTGGGGGTTCACATTCCCTCATCCACAGGGATCCTCGTATTCTTCTGTTACGTCACTCTTTCCAAAGTGCATGTCTTGCAGCAGAGGTTATTTTTGTTTGAATAAAAAATTCAAATAGGCATGCCTATAGGGACGGGCAAACCTGCAGTGGAGTCCTGCTTTTTATCAGCCAGTACAGAACATAGAAACTTCAGTCATGTGATCTCCTTGGATTTCAAAAGAATGTTAACAGAAGGGGTATCACCTTTGAGTTTAATGGCACCTTGACAACAGAGCTCACCTCTCTCTCTCTGTGCTGAATCCTCCATGCCAACATAGTGAAGAAGACAGATGTGGGCATTCCCTCACAGACCTCACATCCTAGTATGTGAGGTAGCAAGTAAGAGAAAATAAATAAAATTATGCCAGGACACGTGATTGTTTGGAAGGAACCACTGTAAAGCACTGAGACAGTCCTGGAGAGTAGGTAGCCTTTTGGATGGTCAGAAAATGCTCCCCGAGTCCTTGGCAGGGAAGGGAGGTCCAAGGATGAGGAAGAACTAGGTCGCAGCCTCCCGGGCCGAGACAGAGTGGCAGGTGATGGAGCTGGATGGGGAGCAAGGATTGGGGTCTCTGTAGCCCTCAGTGCAGTGGATTTTATTCTAAATGCAGAAAGGTTTAGAAGGTGATATGACCTGATGCACTATGTAGTTTTAATTATCTGTGGCATGAGGTGCTGATGGCAAATAGGGATTGGAGGTAGAGCTACAAAGATGTGGTTGGACTAGTTAAGGCTTAGAAGCGGGCAAGAGTGTGGCGAGGGGAAGACAATGTCAGGGAGGATTTCCATGGGATAATCGGGCTGTTGGATCCAGTAGGATCTGATCCAAAAGGATCTGCCCTGGACATTTGAGTTGGAGTTCAGAGGAGATCTTCTGGGCTAGACTAGATGTCCATATGGGGGTCACAGTGTCGGATGCTGAAATCCTAGGGGGTCAATGAGACACTAGATGGTGGGCACTTCTCTAACCCAGTGAAAACCACTGAAGCAACTGCATGTCTGACAGTTTGCTCCTTCAGGATGTTGGTTGTAGCTAAACTGTAGAATTATGGTGATTTTACTGCAAGGTATCCGTTTGAAATGTATTTCTGTCACCAAGGACCGGGAAGGTGAGATGCTATACTTGGTACCATAAAACTGTGGTCTGAGGTTGTGTTTCAGAAAAATCCATATCTGGGTGGTGTGGTCCAGCCATCAGCAGAGCCTGGCTGGCTGTGTTCTGACAGCTCAGATGTCCCCCAAGGCTGAGACCAGCCACCCTTGGTTGGAAGGTGGTGGCAGTTAGACAGGAGCGCTTGGGTGTCCCAGGTCAGAGCCAGGGGGACAGTGCTCCCTGAAAGCTGGAAGCCGAGAAGAAGCTTGCACTGAGAGACGGGGCAGTTATGTTATAATAATTTCTCTTAACAAAACAACAGGAAGGAAGATGTGAAACAGGCTTATTAAACTCAGTGACTTAGAAGAAACACCAGAATAACTTTCCTAAGCTGCAGAGCTGTGATTTTCAGCTTGCGGAAAGTTTGTCGGAAATTGGTCTGGGTTGGAACTCAGGAGTCTGAGCTTTGAAACAGGTGGTTCTGATGCTGATGATGCGCTGGTCCTGGCAAGATCTCTGACATCATCTAGTTAGGCCTCACACACAGGGAACAGGCGTGAGGAGGAAAGGGGGCTCGCACACAGTTACAGAGCAAGTTGGGACATTGCTGCATTCCTATTGGCTTACAATCTGTGTTTTGCAGTGTACCAGGCATCCTGATGGAGGGATGTAAAATTAGTCTGCTCTCCCAGTTCCTAATCCCCTTCCTTCAATTTGTTTCTCCCTTCTTTTCTTCGCTCCTTCCTTTCTTCCATCCATCCTTTCTGTCTTTGTTTCCTCTCCTCTCCTCTCCTCTCCTCTCCTCTCCTCTCCTCTCCTCTCCTCTCCTCTCCTCTCCTCTCCTCTCCTCTCCTCTCCTCTCCTCTCCTCTCCTCTCCTCTCCGTTTTCCCTTCCTCCCTCTCTCCCTGCCTGCCTTCCAGCTCATTTTTACTTATTTGAAGTCACAGATAGATTTTCTAACTTCTAGTTCACTCCCCAAATGGTCATAGTGGCCAGCACTGAGCCAGACCAAAACCAGGAGCCAGCTGCTTCCTCCAGGTCTTCCTCAGAAGTGCAGGGGTCCAAGCACTTGGGCCAACCTCCACTCTTCTCCCAGGCGCATGATTAGCAGGGAGCTGGATTGGAAGTGGAGCAGCCAGGTCTTGAACCAGCACCAATACAGGGTGCTGACATTGCAGGTGACAGCTTCACACACTATGCTACAACCCCCGGCCCCATTTTGCTTTTTTGCACCTCACCTGTGGGAACAGTGTGTTGATGTACTGTGGTGATTGTTTATCTCACCCCGCTAAAATGCCAGCTGCACGAGGCAGTGCTTTTTGTTTTTTCGTTTTCACTGAAGTATCCTGTGTACCTTGAGCAGTGCTGACCCCAGAGTAGGTGCTCAGTGAGTATTTGTTAAATGGAGGGCAGGGAAAATGCAGAAACAAAGGCTTGATAGTGCAAACAGGTTCACTTAATGGATTTTAGGGGAAAAATTATTAAAATAAGAAGGTAGCAGTCATTGTGGGAAAATACCCATCCTTAGACATTGTTAGCACAGAATGAACAAGAATATTTTCTTTTTCACTTGTGTGATTCTGGCTCGAATCAGAATTTACAGGAACGCCTTATTTATGAAAGATTAGTTAGGGACTGTCCAATAATATCAGTAATCAGTAATAACAATGTTATTAATAACAGTAGCGGTCACTGCCACAGTGCTAGCTTCCACTTATGGAATGTATGCTGCCTGCCAGACACATATTCTGAATTTCTGTGCTAACAGCCTCACACCCTGTATTTCATCTCAGTTGCATGTCAGCCAAGCATGGGAGGAACTGCAGTGTTTTTTCCTTAAAGGAGGACGCTGAGGCCCAGGAGGTAAGATTGCCTGTCCCAGGTGACACGGCCAGGACAGATTTGGGACCTGCCAGAAACAGTCAGCACTGCACATGGACTGTTCTTTAAAGAAGCTAAAGATTAGGCAAGCATCCCACTTTGGGGTGTCCCTGGACCAAGAACTCCAACCCCCGAGGGAGTGCAAAACCACAGGCTGGAAAGAAAGCAGCATTTTTTCGGACCAGCTTGCCCGCATTTCGCTGCACGCTCAAGCCTTTCCATCCTCATATTACAAAGGCCCTTTCGTCTTGAACTGTGAGGCTTTTCTCACTTCTCAGATCACCTCCCTGCAGCAGGCCAACATTCCTGTGGCGACAGGTCACTAAGCCATTTCCAGGGAGGCCACTGTGGCTTTCTACAGTCACTCACACCACACCCCCTAAAGCAGGAGGAGGCAGAACGGGACTCCTTCACCCGCCTCCTGTGCCATTTTCCTGTGGGGTCCCCAGGAAGGAACTGAGGAGGAGGAGGAGGGTCTTATAAATGTGAACACAGCCACTCTCTTGTAAGACTTGTGTGAGCCTTTGAGTCCTTGAAACACTGTCCCTATTAAACTGCTTGTGAGCGAACAGAATCAAGTGTCACCACCCACTGTGGATAATGTTAGCATTCATTCCCACCCCTGCCAGCCAGGACTGGTCTGATCTGGAATCTGTGAACACTGCACACATGCATCAGCAGAGCTGCTCACCTCCTTGGGTGTTAGGGGCTGGGAGAGCTCCTAACATCCTCTGCCATCTTTAAGCACATGCTCCCTGCTGAGAGCTTTGATGAGGAAGGCCTGGGGGGAATGGCAGAGCGCTCATCTCATGGCACTTGCCAGGGGCCCGAGACGCATGTTAACCAGAGGATGAATTAATGCTGAGACCTGTGCTGCTAGTCTGTTCTAATACAAGACCAGTTAGGAGCATGGACTCTGCAACTGCACTTCCTGGGTCTGAATCCTGACTCTGCTTCTTGCCAGCTAGGAGACATCCGGTGGCTGACTGAGCCATCCTCTTCTTTGGCTCCCGCACACAGATGTTCATGTTCTCATACCGTGGAGTGGTTGCAAGGATTAAATGAATCAATGTGTGTGAAGCACTTAGTGTCTGGCATATAAAAAGTACACTATAAGTGCTGGCTATTATTAATTTATAGATCAAGTTCTCTTTTTCCCTGGATGATGCAATCTCAGAATTTCAATCCTACCCCATGCCACCCCTACAACTTAGTGTCTGTGGTTCCCAGAGGCTGACGTAGCTAGTCCATGTGAAGTTCCTGGAATGGTGTTTGGCCTGTGAGCATCCCCTAGCAAGTGTCAGTGATGCCAGGGTAAACAGTGCCAGATGCTGAGGGTATGGGGAGGCAGGGGTGGGGAAATCGTCCCATCCTTGGTCCATGTAAATGCTGCATGTCCTGTGTCCCTGGAAAGAGGGCTGGGCACTAACTAGGTGTGCCCCTCACAGCACAAGAATTTGGAGGTAACCTTTGTTGCATGTCACTGTTGTTTTAACGACCTAATGAATATGTACATCTAATTAAAAGAGGAAGCAGAGGTTCCGGGGCAGGGCCCATGAGTGCTTAGCTTCTTGCAGAGATCTATTGTCTCACAATAGCTTCATGATGTGCCATTCATTGCAATGAATTGTCCCTGTCCAGGCCCCACCACCTCTCAGCAGTATCACCGTCCCGCGTCCCTTCCCTCTGGGCACCCGGGAAGGCTAGGCTTCTCTGCTGATTGCCACTGGCGTCTACTTTGTTATGATCATACTTGTACCTTCCCTTGTAGCTTAAGAGTTGGACGGTGGAGGACCTTCAGAAGCGGCTTTTGGCCCTGGACCCCATGATGGAGCAGGAGATCGAGGAGATCCGGCAGAAGTACCAGTCCAAGCGGCAGCCCATCCTGGATGCCATCGAGGCCAAGAAGAGGCGGCAGCAAAACTTCTGAGCAAGGCTGGGACTGGAAGCACAAGCCTCGGGCCGCTCCGGGTGGCTCAGCCTCCACATTTTCGCCAGCACTTCTGTTCTGTCTGTCCTCCACAGCACCTATGTGAACTCAGGAATGTGCGCCAGTGGGAAGGGCCGCCTCGCCGGGCAGCGTGCCACCTTGCTGTATGTACTCACGTGCTCACATGTGTTGTCTCAGGTGGCACTTTTAACTCAGAGTTTTAAACCCCAGGAACAGAGACTCCTAGTTGAGTGATAGCTGGGAAAGTTTTACATTATCTTTTTGTTTTTCTTCTCCCAATAGCTTTTGACTGTTCTCTCTGGAAGACTTTTAAAAGATATATAAATATGCATATATATATAAATTATAAATAGATTCCCCACATAGTGTGGCGGCATCTCTGTACAGGTACACTTTTCAACAATTTGCCTCATTTCTGTAAGGTTATGGTACTGTGGGACATGGAGGCAGAGGACCCTGGGAGGCAGGAAGGGGTGGCACTGAACCCCAGGAATCAGCCTTGCCCTGTGTAGGACTGCATTTACAAATGAGGTTTAGGGTGGTTCTTTCCCCATGGCGTCAGCCTTGCATGGGCATCACCAGCTGCTGGGGCTGTTGGTGACATCCCAGGGAAAACTCTTGAGGGTTTGTTTTTGCCCGTTGAGTCCCAGGAGAGGCCTGGCATCCTCTTTGCCTATCTTACTGCAGACACCTCTTACCTATGTCCACTTTCCAAACTGCCTAAGTCACAATACAGACACTTCCCAGTGCCTTATGTGGGGACATGACCCAGTGAAGAGACAGGCCTGCCAGTAACTCTGCTCAGTCCCTGAAAGGGAAGGAGCTTCCGAAGCTCTTGGTTCATGTGAAAACCTCACACATGGCATTTTGCTCTGCATTCCTTGCAGACAGGGTACAGAGCAGTGCTGCTGCCGATCTACCTGCTTTTCCTTTTACTGTTAAGGAGTCTGAACACCAGACTCGGATTTCTTCTCCAGGAATCTCCACACAGACACACACAGTGCCAGAGCGAGGAGGGACCACAGAAATCATCTGTTCAAACCCTTTGTTGTCTAAGTGCATAAGTGAAGGCTTAGAAGAGGGAAGTGACGCAGCCAGAATCATGAAGCCAGTTAGAGTAAGAGCTGAGACTAGAGCCCCTCTCCCAGCCTCTGACTAAGCCATCCCTTGGCATGTGTCAGTGCTGGTTAGGTTACCCCGAGGATGTCGTTCACCATGCTGATCTTGCCTGGCCTCTGCTCACTTCGAGCAAGTCCACAAGCTCTGTGGTGGCTGCTGGCAGACAGATCGCCAGGGAGGGAGACACACTGGGACCCACCCAAGACTGATCAAGGACTTCACAAGAGACAGCCTGGAGCCATTCCTGAGCTCTGACCCCAGGCTTTGTGGCATTCAGTCACATGACAGAATAGACAGAAAAGACAGGTATCTTTTTATTTTCTTCTATTTGGTATCTTTCCCCCTATCACGTCCCCTCTACACCCCTCAAGTTAGGGGAGCCCTGACTGGGTCGCGCTTAAGGAAACTATCATTTGATTCCATGAGTACTACCTGGAAATCGATGGAAAGGTAGAAATTGTTCTCTTCTGTTAGCAAATCTGCCTTACTTTCCTTTTCTCTTTTTCCTTGGCGGCTAAAGCAAGTTTTAAAAAAAATCTGGAGGCAGTTGTTGGTGTCCAAGGCTTGGCCCATGGGTAACAATGACAGATACACAAAAGAAAAAGTGATAAATGGCAGCCAGTGTGCTGACCACCTGTTCTGTGGCTCTACACGTCACAATAGCCCTGGGAGTTAACCACTTTACTTCTGTTTCTTAGATGAAGAGAGGGGTTTGGAGAGAAAGTGTCTTCCCAAGACAGGAGGACTAGCAAGCACAGAATCACAATCCAGGCCCAGAACCCATATTCATGAGGAAAAGGAAAGTCAAAAGTGTGTTTAAAATGAAGTACCCACGTTTTCTCCCACAGACGAAATAGCTTGGAATTGGCATTTTCAGGTTAGAAAAGAGCTGAATTCATAGTCAAGTCTGTTAACCAGTCAAGTTTTTAAAGCAAAAGCATTGAGCATAAATACCCCTGCCCATGCCAGTTGCTGTGCTAAATAAGAAACTTTGTCTCATCCTCTTCCTTTTGAAACAGAGAGCCTCGGTCCCACAGGAAAAGAAAGCCCATTTTCTCCCTTCCTAAAGCTCGCTCCCAGTGAAGGGAAGGGCAGTTTTTCCTCATAAATGGTCCTGGGCCGTGCACCCTGATCTGGAGTTTATTTTGTTTCAGGCTTGTGTGTGTGCACCCAAACAGTCCAGCATTCATGAGTCGCTAGCCAGCCGGAGTCCTTTGGCCAGAAGTCAGTTTGTTTGGGATCAGATGCATTTCCTGGTGAGATTTATTTAACTTCTAGTGACAGAAAGGCAAAGGGGCAAGCCCTGGTCATTTTTCTCTGGGATGCTAAATCTAAGCCATGTTACCTGGTTCTCGCTGAGCCCTGAGCTCTGGCCACCATCGAGTATTTGTGGCTCAGTCATCCAGGGAGGACTGTGGCCCTCACTGGTTTCCTACTTTTAGGAAACAATGGCTCACACCTAATGATGTCTTCAGAAATTTTCATATTCTCTAAAAATGTCTTACTTTCTCCCTTATCAGTCATTTCAAAGCACATTGGGTGAGTATTTGACTGACTAGGGATGAGGGGAATATGGTGGGTGGGTAGATGGACGGGTTGATGGAATCAAATATTTAATATAACTTAAGGACCATGGCTTGATTTTGTGAGACTAAATTCTGATCCAGGAAACCTTCACTTAGCACCTGTCAGATGTCAGAAGCGTGTAACACCATTTAAAGCTCAGTAGGTTTTTTTCCAGTATCAGGAATGAGAGCAAGGGCATAACTATAGGTCCCACAGATATTAAAAGGTTAATAACAGGATGTTATGAACAAATTAATGCTGTGATAAATCCAAGAGTTTAAAAGGGAAACGGGCAGATTCCTTTAAAAACACGAAGTACCAAACTTCACTCAAGAAGAAACAGGTAATAGATTTTATATTTACTAAAATTGAATAGCTCTGAGGGATTTAGGTATTAGTGTCCTTATTTTAAAATATGAGAAAACTGGGGCTGAGAGAGAGAAAGTTTATGACCCAAGGTCACATTGCTAGGCTACGGCAGACCCCAGATTCAAAGAACGGATTGTCCGATTCTTATTCCTGTGTCCTTTCTGACATACCACATTGCCTCTCAAAGATTGCAGCTCCTTCTTTCCTGGGAAACTGATTCCTTCCCAACCCACACCCTACACCCTGCTCCATCCTTTCTTAATTACCAGATTGTATTTTCATCAGGATTCTATTAATTGGATTTGGAATCCATGTTCTTGTTTGTGTTTTTAAGGAAAAAGAATCTCTTCCACCAGCTTGCACTTGGACCAACTTGGGAGGAAGGGTGGGCAAAAGCTTACATGCTGTTGCTGATGTACAATTTGAAAATGTGAAGTTTGTAGCTTTAACATTTTGTAATGAAAACAAATAACACTGGCTTAAGTGCTGACTTGAAATGCTATTTTGGTAGTTGGATGTAAATAATTACTTGAGGTCAGCAGTTTGTATATGTGTGAGACCTAGCTTCCTCTGCCCCCACCCCAACTCCTTTTTTAAACTTGAGATGCTCCCTGCGTGTTTTTATGTTAGAATTGTTGTTTTCCTCCCTTCCTTTTTCCTGCACTTTGTCCCTTTGTTTTAAATAAACTGTCCTTTGGACAACAGAGTATCCCTCTTTTAAAAATAAGAGCTTCCATGTGTGCCTGGATGATGGTGCTTGACATTGACTCTGTGGTGTGGGGGGAGAGGTGGTGAATGTGTGTTGGGCATCTCCTTTGTGCCAGGCACTAAGCTAGCTGTCAGAACATGTGGTTGAACGAGACACAGTCCCTGTAGAACATGTGGGGAGGTCAAGCACATAAGTATGCAACACTGGAAACCCTGTGGACACTCGAGGCTAGGGGAGGCAAACAGTCAGTTCTGGGGGAATAGCCCCAGGAGCGTCTCTGGAGAGGGTCATACTTGAAAAATAAAGAGGGAAAGGAAGGGTAGGAAATGAAGGAGAGCACAAGTTTGACAACTGGGATGGACCCATGAGAGGATATGGGAGAAATCCAAGACTAAGACACTGCAAGTGCACACCCCTGCCAGCCTCACCCCACAAAGCTGCCTGGTTAGAAGGTGGGGATCAGGGATGCCCAGTGGGTAAAGAGTAAACTCAGTGGGAGAAACGCTGGGGCCCATAGAGATTGCAGAGACTTGTTCACTTTTACTGTTACAGATGTAGGGACTGTTGGCGGGAATGGCTTGTTGTGGCTGATCAAACGAGGGGGATATCATTTGGGACAAGACAGATCCTGCTGATAGAGATGTTCTTCCTAGAGACGGAATTCTCAGAGCTAGCTCCAGGACCTGCCTAAGTCCTGTCAATTTGAAGAATTGGTTAAATGCAAACTTGGACCAAATGCTGGCCCACGTGAAATGGAGCTTAAATGCCTAAAGCCCTTGGCAAGCAAGTATAGGAAGGCATTCGAAAATGTCTGAAAACAGGATGCTGGGCTGGATATATTTTGGCCTCCAGTGAACTCAGCCTGCCTGACTCCTGCTTGGAGGAAAGTACTGCTGGTGCAGGGCCTGCAGAGTAAACCGAGCTCTCTGCTCTCAAAGGTCAGGAAGAACCCGGAGGTGCAGAGACCACTCCAGAAATTCAGTGGAAATGGCTGTCTTGACATTCAGCAGGTAATGAGTAAAGTCAGAATTCTTGGTGTAAGGTCCTGAAAAGTTAAATCGCAGGCAACTGCTCAAGTCTTATTTTGTGGGACTTCAAATATATCAAAACAAAGCAAAACCCAAACCAAATCCACTCTGGCTCTGGCAACACAGTCCTGATTTGAGCCTCCCAGACGGTCACCTAACACCAGGCCTGGACTGGTTTATTGATTGAAAGTCCTCTGACTGCAGGATGGGCTTCTTGCCCTTGAGAAAGGACTCTGCTTGTTGATGTCGCAAGTGTAATAAGAACATTTGTCTTGTCTTCTAAAAGACAAGTGGCCATTTACCAAGCCAGTTGGACTCTAGAGAAAGGAAAACACCTAGACCTTCCATCCAAATCTTAAGATGCTGAATAAGTTGTTTTTTGGTTTTTGGGTTTTTTTTTTTTAAGAACAGTACTTTACACTCATTTGCCATGTAGGGAAAAAAAAAAAAAATAATGTTTTGGGTCCCTAGTGGCTGGAGTCTTTGCCATGAATGTGCTTGGATCCTATTTGGGCATGAGGTTCATGTCCCGGCTGCTCTGCTTCCCATCCAGCTCCCTGCTTGTGGCTTGGTAAGGCAGTAGAGGATGGCTCAAAGCATTGGGACCCTGAGTCTGCGTGGGAGACCTGGAAGGAGCTCCCGGCTCCTGGCTTCAGATTGGCTCAGCTCTGGCTATTGTGGCCACTTGGGCAGTGAACCAATGGATGGAGGATCTTTTTGTCTCCTGTTCTCTGCCTTTCTAATAAAAATAAACACATCTTTTTAAAAAAAAAAAAAAATCAGTACTTTTGTTTTAAACTTTACCCAAAGCCTTCTATCATAGGTCTGCAGAGTCTGAAGATTGGAAAAAAAGTCCCCTCACTGCCTCTCTATGATATGAAAGGCAAGCAGGATCTGAGAAAATTTCCAAATAGAAACAACAACCATGTCTGAGGAGGCTTCAGAGGTTGGCACACCTACCAAAGACCTTACGGGGTACTGATTTATAGCAACAGCATGAATTTCATGTTTGGCTGGTACAATTTTAGATCTGATGAGTCTTGGAAAATGCCAGTTGATCTTTAAAAATCGATTCATTGATTTGAAAGACCAAGAGAAGGAGAAGCAGAGATCTTCCACCTGCTGGTTAACTCCCCAAATGGCTGCCACAACAGGGACTAGGCCAGACCTTAGCCAGGAGCTGGGAACTTGGAACTCCGTCTGGGTCTCCAACATGGGTGGCAGGGGCCCAAGTGTTTTGACCATCTTCTGCTGCTCCCTCAATGCATTAGTAGGGAGCTAGACCAGAAGTGCAACAGCCAGAATTTGAACTGTGGATGAAACTCCTGGCTTCAGACCAGCATAGCCCTGGACACTGAAGCCACTTGGGGAATGAATCAGAAGATGGAAGATTATCTCGCCCTCTCTTTCCATCTCATCTTCTCTGTAACTGCCTTTCAAGTAAAATAAAGCTTTAAAAAATACTGGGTATATGTGAAGAGCGTACAAGGCTATGGCATGCTAGAACACAGGTAACTGCTATTTTTGCCTGTTAGTACTTCTCTTTACTGTGGTAACACAGCTCAGTGGACACCTAGATTCTGGATGTAGAGCACACTTGGCTGTTTTAAGCCCCTGAATTCATGGTAAGGTGTTATGGCAGCCCTGGAAACTAGAACACCTGCCAATACATTATTTTTGTTGAACAAAGTCAGTATCTACTGCTTGCCATCAACAAACCCTAATTGTTCAGTTGTTCATGACTTTAATTCTTTACTCCAATGACCAAGTTAGTTCCAACTGCTCATACTTGGAATGTATTCCAGCTGGTCCAACCAGACACAAGGGCTGTGCCATGTGCCCAGACTGGCATCAAAGAGCAAAGGTCCAAGTCATTCACACATCACTCACCCTCTCTAGTCACCCAGAGAGTAGGCAGGAAGTCAGCTCCACACACGCAGGAACAGTGTCTGGGCCTGGCTCTTTATTTGCATATTGTTTTTTACTGATACAAGGGGTTGAAGGTAGAATGCCGCTTGCTTTTTTGGTCAGGACAAACGATCCTGTGGGTTGATGGGGTCAGAACATCTGGAAGCCATTTGCCTTCTTGGGGGCATGTGTGACAAGAGACCAAGGGGGAATATGCAGCCCTTCTGATCTCTGTATCCCCACCTTGGCACAACTAGGGCTTGAGGAGGGCTGCATCTGTGTGATGTGAGGAATTCCTGTCAGAGGCCTTTTGGGCTTACCCCACCTTCTGGTCCTGTTTGGATAGTTGGGGTCCATGCATGCTGGGGAAACCACTGCATGCTAGGCCCAGTGTGTGACATGCGAGCTTTACATGTGCCTCTGTGCGGAACCCCTTTGTTTACATGGTGGCACATGAGATGGTCATGTGTTCAGGAAACCTTCTGAGGAAATGGGCCCACACACGCTTGTGAGCGTGTATGTCCCAAGCTCACTCTGATACACTCCTGTGGATCACTGCATTCATGTCTATGCCCACTACTGGTCCGCATGCCTCAGGTGTGGAGGGCTGTCTAGGTTGGTCATCACTGCTTCTCTTACACCTGGCAAGCAGGCAACAAATGAGATACCAGACATGCGAGGTCAATGTAGGAAGTGGCCGTGTGCAACCCACGAGTGGGTGGGAACGAGGTGAGAGACCTAGGAGGTACAAACCTCACAGTCACTCAGATGTTAAAAATCTACTAGAAGTACAGTTCAGCTAAACAGAATATGTCTGCGAGCCACACGGGAAACCACAATGGCTAGTGATGGAATGCGTGAAGAGTCTGCAAGGGATATAATGGCAGGAAGTTGACAAATCAAGTGGAGATGGAGGAGGCAGGTGACTGGGCCTCCTTTGCAGTCTGGTTCCTATGCTCTCAAGAGCAAGGTCTCTCTTGGTCTGTTTCTCTTTCCCAGGAAGTTGACAAATCAAGTGGAGATGGAGGAGGCAGGTGACTGGGCCTCCTTTGCAGTCTGGTTCCTATGCTCTCAAGAGCAAGGTCTCTCTTGGTCTGTTTCTCTTTCCCAGTAGGCTGGACAAATTAGGTCATTACTCTATTGAACATATTATGGAATACCTACTTTACACCAAGCTTTGGGCTAAGCCAAACCAGGCCATCCACCTTGAGGCTCATGCGATGGGACTCAGAAGTATGAGCAGCAGCAGATGGGTGCTCCAGCCACAGCATGCGAAAAGGGCGGGGGTGGGGTTGCTCCCCAACTCTCTCAGCAGGCAGAAGATTCAGGCAAGGGGGGCAGGAGAGCTTCATCCCCAGCAAGGATGGCTGGAGCTGCCCTGTAGGGCCTGAAGAATCAAGCATTTCCCTAAACCATTATTACTAAAGGTAGGGTTGGAGGTCTGTGTGTGAGCAGAAGGGAAGAGCCAAAGTCAGACTGGGGTCCTGGGGGGCAGGTGCTATGCACGGTACGCCCTGCCACCAACATTTCAGAACTGGCTTGGCTTGAAGTCAGTGCCACCTCTGCTCCTTTTTTGCTCTGGGTCTGACGAGCTAGGACCTGGAGCAGGGGCAGGGACCTGGAAGCTTCTTCCAGTTGCCAGCTCTGAGGAAAGAGCCTCAGCTGAGGTCAGAGTTCTGACATTCGAATGCCATGCCTGGTCCTTTGTGCCATTCCAACAGAGTGCGCTCACCTCATGGATTGACCTTGGGCATCCACAAACCACGTGTCAATCTTGGGAGGACAGAAGCGGAGGAGTAAACAGGACATTGGTCCCCACTGTGTGACGTGTTGGGGAATGTGGCTCCACTCTGAGCCTCAGCTGTGAGAAGGGGTGGCGCTCATCCTCCAACCCAAGCTAACAGGAGGGGATTGGGGGGCCTTGGCTTCCTTCTGACTTTCTCCCCTCCAGCTGTGGCCATGCTGTGGGTGGCTGGAGGAGGGAGCCAGCACAGGGGCCCTGACTCACCATCATGAGGGCCTGAAGTTGGGGAGGGGGCTCTGCTCTGTTCCAGCTAACTCTGACTATGGAGGCAGGGAGTTTTTAGTATCGCCCGGAGTCGGGAGGCTCGCCCGGGGGCTGGGTCTCCAGGTCTGCAAACTGTCCCTCCCGCGAAGCCTCTCGGGATGTTTCCAGGGACGCCTCCGACACTCCGTCCACACTGCTCAGCAAGTCCTCGAAGTGCCGGTGGTCGCTGTTGCGCACAGCTGCCTCCAGGGCCTTCTGGCGCCGGTAGAAGTGGGAGAATTTGTTGAAGATGATGGTGATCGGGAGTGCCACCACCAGGATGCCGCCCAGGATGCAGCCTGAGGCCGCCAGCTTGCCAACCACTGTCACTGGCACCACATCCCCGTAGCCCACCGTGGTCATGCTTACAGTGCCCCACCACCAGCAGGCTGGAATGGTGTCAAAGCCCACATCCTCCTCCTTCTCGGCTGTGTACGCCACACCGGAGAACACAGACACGCCCACGGCCAGGTACAACAGTAAGATGCCCACCTCACGGTAGCTGTGCTGGAAGAGAATGAAGAAACCCAAGTCAGAGCTGCCTGGGCTTACAGACGCGCTACCAGCCACGTGGGGAAATGACACCCACAGAGCGAGGCTGAGTTGGTGCCAAGTCCCAGATCTCACAACTTGATATCCCATACTATTGTAGGCAGCAAGAATGCACACGGGCCTACTCTCTGTTCTCTGAAGTTCCTGCTAGGGCACAGTGGATTCTTCTGACTTGAGGGCCACTGGTGGTACAAGCCAGTGAAATAAAAGCATGCGATCTTGTGCTCTGCTGTAAAGCACCTTACCCACTAGTGTCACAGCTGGTGTCACAGACCTTTGCCGGGCCCATCACATGTGTGACTTATACACAATATTTTCTGCTACTCAAGGAAGCCAAGGGGCTGTCAGACAAAGAATGCACCTGCCTCTGTGGGTGTGTTTGCTTTGAAGCCAAGCCCTAGGGCAGTGGTTCTCCACCAAGGCCATTCAGCCCTCTCAGTGGACATCTGGCAAGGTCTACAGACACCAGCTGTCCTACCTGGGACAAGTGCACTACAGGCACCTGGGGAGATACCAGGGCTTAGGCTCCACATCGCACAGGGCACAGGACGGTCTCCATCACAAAGAATGATCTGCTCCTCAGTGTCAGTGGCATGAGGCTGAGAACCCCCTCGTTTGCAGCAGGGCCTCTCAGAGTAGGAAGTGCAGAAGGAACACAGCAGGCAGAGCCAATAGGGCAGCTCCGGGGCAGCATCACAGGGTCTGCCTTTTTAGCTGAGCTTCCAAGTGATGCAAACGCTGCTCCTGGTCAGAGGCCTCCCTCAGAGAGGCAAAGCCATCGCCCTCAGTACCTAGCCCCTGTGCCCTGGACCCTGGCAGCCCCAGTAGATATTCCTCTGCCTCCTTCCTCAGCATCAAAGCTAGGCCCTGTGCTATGGGTTTAGGCAAAGCAGAATGCTGGGGCCAAGGGGGTCTTCCCTGGGGAGATGCTGAGATGGGGTGTGCAGGGAGTATGGGTGAAGAGTCTCGCTACTTGTGACTACCTAGTGTCACTTCCAGTACCCCCTTTCCTGACTCCCCAGCCAGGAGGTCATACACCAATCCGGGATCTTTGGTGGGGTTGCATGGAGTTTTAGGAGGAGGAACAAGATATGCTGCAACCAGCCTCCGCTTGGCTGCCGGGGAGTGGGCCTGTCACCCCTTCCCCCCCCCCCACACACACATCCTGGAATCTCACTTTCCCCATATGCCAAGTAGTGAGCAATAATTCTGTTGGCACAACCTCCCACACACTCTCCCATGCCCTAGGGATAAAGTCCAATGTTGGGGGCCAAAAGTGCATGGTATTTCATGTCCTACTCCTCTCACCTCCTTACCTGCCTCTCACTCCTAGCAAACACCCTGCTTAGTCTCCAGGCTATCGGACTTTGCTTCCTTCCCCTGACCAGCCCCGGACATCCCCTAACTGAGAAGTCAGTTGGTGGGGCCTTTGCATCCTTGTCTAGTTTTCCGTTTGTTCAGTTTCCTTGAAAAACTGGGTGGGTCACAGCAAGTCTTCCCTTACAGAGCTATTGGGAAGGAAGGTCTGACTGGAAGGGAAAAACGGACACATGGCACCCAGCACAGCACCTGGCTGGGGCGCACAGCAGATTCGGCTGCCCAAGAACTACGCTTGGCTTACACAGCCCTTCCCAGCGCCCACCAGGGCCTCACAGGCCTTACCTTGAGCGTGGCGCCCAGCGAGCGCAGTCCGGTGGAGTGGCGTGCCAATTTGAGCACGCGGAAGATGCGCATGAGGCGAAACACCTGTACTACTTTGCCCAGGTCGCCGAGCTCCTCGCCGCCTGCGCCGCGCCGGTCGCCCAGCGCCACGCCGGCCAGCAGCGTGAGATAGAAAGGCAGCACCGACACGATGTCGATGAGGTTAAGCGGGTGGCAGAAGAAGTTGCGCGTGCTGGGCGCCAGCAGCAGGCGCGACGACACCTCAAAGCTGAACCAGGCGATGCAGAAGTACTCCAGGCGCCGCAGCACCGGATCGTCGTCACGCGCCTCCTCGGCGCTGCGGCCCGCGGCCACCGCGGCCACGGCTGCTGCCGCCTCGCGGGCCTGGTACTCGGGCAGGCTGTGGATGCACATGGCGGCGATGGAGGCGAGCACCACGCCTATGGAGACGCAGCTGAAGAGCTTGCTGGGCAAGGAGTAGCCCGGGTTCTCCATGGTGAGCCAGAGGCGGCGGCGCAGGCGGCCGCAGCGCGCTGCGCCATAGCGCGCCAGCTCGCGCTGCACGTCGGAGATCTCATCCGGGCACGGGTCCACACTGCTCGGTGTGTCGCTGTCTTCGTCCCAGGCTCGCGGCCGCGCCACACGCCGCTCCAGGTAGCGGCCGCGACAGCACGCCGCCAGTGCGCTTTCGCCCAGGCCCCAGTAGTCGGCTTCCTGGCCGAAGGCGAAGACGCACAGCTCGTCCAGCACGTGCAGCCGGCCGGTGCGGTAGAAGTGCAGCAGGCCCAGGAAGAAGCCCGGGTGGCGGTCGAAGTAGAACTCGCGCGCGGCCGCGTCGTAGTCGTCGCAAAGGCGCCGCGCCTGCTCCTCGGACGCCGCGGCCTGCAGGCGGCCCAGCCGCGTGCCCGGGAAGCGCGCTAGGGCGCGTGCGCTCAGACACCGACGCACGCCGCCCACGTTCACGCGCAGCGCCTCGTCGCTTCGCCGCCAGGGCACTCCGGCGCCGCGGCCGGGGCACTCGCTCACCATGGCCACTGCTAGCGGCGGCGGCTTCGCACTGGCCTGTGGACACAGGAGAGTTGCGTGCTGGAGAGGGAGGCCTGGAATCCCTGGTTAAAATCCCTGGCCTCCAGTCAGGGTGTGAGACGCCTGGGCAGTCGGCGCTCAGTAAGTGTCCAGAGTCCCCAGAACGCAGATTCAGGCGTGGGTTCGAAAAGGCCCCCTCCTCAGCTGGAGACTGACATTCCTGTTGTTCTTCTTCCCTCAGAAAACAAATGCAGACACGGATTTGGAAGGACTGAGGATGCAGTGGGGTCACATGACAGCCCCCCGCCCGCAACTGGTAGGTTCTCCCCTAAAATGCAACCCCTTTCTGGGATAAACTCCGGGTTCCAACCCCAGACATCTACTGTGGATTCTGGGATGTGCTAGTTTGTTGGAGAGAAGTAATTCAACTTGTAGTTTCCAGAGTGTTCTCTGGACTAGCCATGCCACCTGGGTCTTTGCCTTACATTTATTTTTCTCAGCTGTCCTTGGACTTGACAAATCAGAACCTCTGGGCCTGGGGTCCAGCAGTTTAGAGTTTAGCAATATTGGAAGGTGATTCCAACAGGTGGTCAAGTTTCAGAACTATGTGAAGAGTCTGTGGTGTGTGAGACCTGACTCTGGCTCTCTCATGTGGCACTACGCACATTGTCTCACGTCTCTGAACCTCTTTAGAATGGATATTTTTAAATGTTGACATCAAAGTGTAGTTACAAAAATGAAATGGTCTGAAGTCTTTGTTGGGCCTGGCTCCCAGAAGGAGTTAATTCAATTATCCACCCATGCTACTGTGCTGCTGTCACGTGGAGTCGGATAGATGTGGACACATTGCTACCCTGGGCGCACCTGTGGCCTGGAAGGTGCTTGCTCTCCAGGTCTGGTTCCTGCACAACGCACAGTGTGGGCAGTTGCCCCTTCACTGCCTCCACTAAGGGCGGCTGCAGGATTGAGTTAGGGTGTGGAGAGTGTCCAGCATCAGAGGCTGCCCAGGAAGTGTTAGGTCCTTCCCCTGCGTGCTGGCTCCTGGCCCTGATGGATGGGAGAGCCGGTGACTCGCGTCCTGACCCTAACCAATCCCATCTGCTTTGTGGGTTCAGCTCCTGAAGTGGACCAGGACTGAGCGTGCATCAAGCCCCTGGCCCGTGTCTGGTGGACGTTCTTTCTCTCCTTTGCTCTGCCCCGTGTGTCACACCAGGCTGGTCTCCTCCCTATTGTCCATCTCCTGGGGTAATGACCCTGCAGATGATCTGTCGTGTGTGTGTGTGTGTGTGTGTGTGTGTGTGTGTGTGTGTGTGTGCAGAGGCCCTGCGGGCAGGGCCGGGAATCACTAAACACTAATCTCTTGTACTTCGGTCTGAGCAGGTCTGAGTTCAGTTGTGAATCTACCCACTGGTGACCTTGAGCTTCGATTTCCCCGCCTGTGTCCTGGGTAGCATCATGCTTTCCCTAAGAGGTTACGAGGTTTACACAGGACCAGAGGTGTGGTAGCAGCATGGTCCCTGTCCTCTAGCTGATGCTCTCTGCCTAGTGCACTCTGAGCTGCTCCACCTGGAGCTGGCATCGAATGGCGAGGTTTCTAAGGCAGTTCGTTCCTCACTAGAAGTATGATCTTGGGTCAGTGCCTTCCATGTTCCTGCATTTAACCAACACTTCCTGAAAAGCATCCGAACATCAGAAAGCTTAAGGGACAGCTCCAAAAGAACCCAGCTAGACCTTGGCATTGTGAAGGCTGGCAGCCGCCAGGCTTCTTGGAGTCAACCCTCAGCACACCGATGTTGAGCACTTTGCACCTGCCAATCACTTCCTGAGCGCCCCCCATTCTCCCCCAATCCCCGCAGAGACCCAGTGAGCAAGGCTTCCTGATCGCGTTTTACAGATGAGTGAGCAGGTCCAGTCAGCCTGGGAGGTCCCAAAGCACCATCTTCCACATAGTTCCCTCCCCTGGGGGTGGTCTTCTAGAGGGGGCGGGTCCCGAAATTCCCAGCAACTCCCAGCAGCCCCGACCCTCTCCGGACCACGCCCCTTGCCTAGGGAGGTCCCCTCACCTGTCGCCGTCCTTCCAGGGCTCCAGGCGCGCGTCTGCTTCTAAAGGCACGGAGGCTAGGGAGCCGCTGGCAGCTCGGGGGCTCTGCTGTGCCCTGGCGGCCCCGCCGCACCTCGCTGCACCGGAGGCCCCGCTGCCCGCTCCTTCACTGTCTTTCTGCGTCCCCCGCGGCCTCGTCCGCATCGCATCGATTGTTGCCGGGGGAGGGAGGGAGGCCGCGGGCTGCAGGAGGCGGTGGTTTCTATTCCTGACTCGGATGGGGGGGGGTGGTGTCTGGGCGCTGGGGCCAGAAGCCCGTGTGTCCTCCCAAGCCCGGGGGTGGGGGTGATGAGAGGGCGGGAAGGAGGAATCACTTCGTTTTCTGCGTGAGGATCCCCCAAGAGTGGGACTACAGCCTCCCGGCGAGGGATCAGCAGTTATCACAGTCATCCTAATTGAGTGCTTAGTATGTGCCAGGCACGCAGCTCCAGGTGCTCTGGCTCAGTTACTCCTGACACAAACTTGGCAGGGGCAGGCTCTCATATTCCCTGATTGATAGCCCGGGCGGGGGGAGGCGCTCCAGCACTTTGCTCAGGCTGTGGGTTCTCTGGGTTAGGTTGCTGTGGATTCCGGCTTTACTTACCCGGGAGCGCCAGGCTGGGACGGGGCAGGTATGAGGCCTGAGTCTTGCCGGTCTGGGCTGGGACTTCTCCAGTATTTTGCTCCCAAGGCCCGGTTTCCATTCCTGCCCACCCAAGGACTTCTTAGTGCCATTTTCCAGGTGGGTTGTTAGGGTCAGGGGGAGAAACATGCGGAGGGGCTGTGTCCAGTGGCGGGATCCTCACGTCTATTGAGTGGTTCTTGTGTCCCAGGTTGGAGCAAAGCGCTGCAGACTCATACATGGCGGTTACTAATAATGAGAATGACCAGGCATTACCTGGCATTTACTTTGGGCCAAGCCCGACCTCACCTCATTCAAGCTGCGAAGGTATCGGCAGAACAGGTGCTGCATCATCAGTTGGAAGTGGAAGGCCCTGTGGCTTTGTCAGGGTCACACAGCTGACTTCCTCTGGGCCAGCATTGTTCAATAGGTAGAATGTGAGCCACAGGTAACTGCAATATTTGAAAAAAAAATTGAGGGAGAGAGAGAGAGAAACAAGGGAAGTTACTTTAGTAATATATTGAACCCAAAATATTCTAAGATGTTTTAATTTTAACATGGAATCAGCAAAGAAATAGTTGACATGATATTTTATGTTTTCATCTTTGTGAGTTTTTGCAGTTCAGTCTGTTAGACTGTATGGGTTTTTTTTTTTTTTTATGTCATGTACCAAGTTACTTTAAGGTCAGCAGCTTCAGGCAAGGGGAGTGTGTACTCCCAGTGTCTCGAGATCAGAAGTTTGTGCCTGGCATGGCTGGATTCCCTTCTCGGGAGTCCAGCAGGCTAGAGCCAAGTTGCTGGCCAGAGTGGAGGTGCTTAGCCGGCTCGGGGGTTTTCTTCCAAGCCCACAGATTGTTGGCAAAATTCATTATCATTATAGGACTGAGGTGCCCCTGTCACAGCCAGCTCTCTGCTAGGGACCCACCTCAGGACCTGGGGTCAGCAGCAGTTCTGTGGCCACATGACCTCACAGGCAGGTCCCAGCACCAACACTTGCTTTCTGGCAGGCAAGCCCAAGTGCGGGCTTACTTTTTTTATAACCAGCTGGATTTAATTCAGGAATTCTGTAAGGGACTCGATCTGCTTAGGCCAGATCCACCTGGGCAGACACCCTTGTGACGTGTGGTCTGTACTCTAAAGTTTCTTTCTGAGGAGATTGTGCAGGGATGAGGATCTTTGGGGTTGATTTGAAATTCTGCCTCCTACACACACCTGTAGCAAGTCTCATTCAGGACCGATCATACTGGATGTGTTCAGGAGTTGCGTGTGGCTAGAGGCTCCCCTGTGGGGTTGCCCAGCCCTTGGCTACTCCACCTCAGGTTCACTCTGAGTAAACAGTGAGAGCGGGCGGGTAAGTTGCTGTGTGACCTTGGGCCGAATGTCTGTTCTTGGGTGTTTGTCCACACTGTCTAAAATGGAACAATGTCTGCCTTTCGTTTCGCTAAGGATTAGTACCTGCTGCCTCCCTCTCCATCAACAGCTCTTCTTGCACTTCCTGTTCCTGGTGTATCAGGATTGAATTTGACTGTTGGAACAGAAGCCAGATCATGGTGGCTTCGCTAGTGAGGAGGTTACTCTTTTCAGCCTGCCAGGGCAGGTACGGCTGCCCAGGAGCTGAAGATGCAGTCTGTCGCTGCCTCTGGCACTGTGCTTGTGTGGCCCTCATCCCAGTGGCTGGAACAATTCGAGCTCTCGCCGGGATCCTTCACCGCTTTCCATGCACTGACTCCTGGCTGCTGCAGTGTCTTCCCTCTGTGGTTAGGGTCTGCATATGTTTATCAGAGGGCTTGCTAGGGACTGCCAGAGCCTCCAGTGGCTCCACAAGGGGAGAATCTGAAGGGCCTGAGGCTTGGTGTGTCGTGTGTCTTGGGAGCTGCTGCCCTGTGTCCCTGCCCCAAGGTCACACCCTTGGTCACCGCTTCTTTTCTCGTTCATTTTACTACTGCCACACATGCTTTCTTTTTTTTTAAGATTTATTTGTTTGTATTGAAAAGTAAGATCAGATTTACAGAGAGAAGGAAAGACAGAAAGATCTTTTGTCTGCTGGTTTACTCCCCAAATGGCCACAACAACTGGAGCTGAAATGATCCAAAGCCAAGAGCTTCTTCCAAGTCTCTCACATGGATGCAAGGTTCCAAGGCTTTGGGCCATTCTCTGCTGCTCTTCCAGGCCACAAGCAGGGAGCTGAATGGGCAGTGGAGCAGCTGGGACACAAAATGGCACCCATATGGGATCCTGTTACTTGCAAGGAAGGATTTAACCATCGAGCCATTGCACTGGGTCCCCAGACATGGTTTTCCTGAAC